TTAGAGCAGGAGTAGACAGAGCGCATTGGTTAAACAAGGTGTGGTGATACTGTCGATCTACAAACAGCGAATAGCAGGACGGCTGTCGGCTCCGTCGCCGCGCGTCACCTGACCGGCGCCGTCCCATTTCAGACTGTCCCCTCTACCGAACGACCCCCGACTTGGCAAGTGCAGGGCGAGCTGCGCCCCCAGCGGCGTCGGCGGCAGCCCAAGCCTGCGAGCGTGCGAACGACCGCGCCGAGTGTATATAACGCGCAATAATCCTGCGTGCGCGGCCCCGGCCGGACGGTTTGCGTTGGAGTCCAGTCTCACAACTAGCGACGGCCACACGGCGCGTGTGAAAACAGCTGCGGGATTGTTCTAGTCGAGTTTAGATAGCCGTGAGAGAAGGTCCGGCGGCCGCCGCCGCCGCCCGCTGGACTGCACCCCGGGGGCGGCGGCGGCGGGGGCCGGCCGGGGCCCACGCCGCCGCTGTCTCTGACTGTCTCCCGTCCTTCCGATGCAGCGGCGCGCCTGGTGACTGACGACCGGAAGGAGCGCGCGCGACCGTGCAGTGCGTGGGCTGAACGATGAATGGTGGAGAGACGTGTCGGCATTTGGAGACTGGACAATATAATGTCTTTTGATGTGGCGGCTTTCTCGGCTGGGTGTCAAGCGACATTCTGTTGCGGGCTGGCTGGTTAACTGCCTCCGGGTCTCACATATGCGAGAGGACATAAAGACACAGGAAAATGTTTTTAAAAGCAAGTGTTATTTCCCGAGAATGATTTGAGGTCTTGTGGTGTCTACACGAGGCAAGGGAGCTGGCATTTGCATATTTTGTCTTTATACGACATCAAATAAGGTATTAGCATCTTAGCAAATTTAAACAGCTAAATTAAGAGCATTTATTTGCGTCCGTCTGTCGATCTGTTTGCACATATCCTTCGCCCAGACTACAGCACAGACGGCTGCACGGATCACCATGAATTTGCACGCAAGGGATTGAAGTGTTGTGACGATCCACGACCGAAGCTCAGGCCCGTCCGTTACCGATGTATGTTACAGCGCGCGCAAGAGTGGGGCGTGGTTTGGCATCTAGTACGAAGACAGTTTTCTGTATGTAAGAGAGACTATGAAAATCATACGACATTCTGAGTGCGAGGAGCGGTGTCGCGAAGAGCAGAGACGTACACGCAGATTCCATCTGGGATGGAATGGGGTGTAGCTTGAAGTTTGTCCGTGAAGTTGGCGATGTGGACAGCCTTTACTTAACGACGAGTGTTCCGATCTCACTGAAAATGCGCCAAGTGGTCAATGATGGCGCGGGAACATCAAAGGTGACGTCTATTTTACATACGTCACCAGGGTCAAATTCAAGATCAACGCATGGCGAAATCTGTGTCGCCGAGAAGTTACAGCCCGAATTTTTATCTTTAAGGATCAGAATATTTACGGCGCACGAAGTAGCGTTCATCAAAAAGTTTTGACTCTCGAAGTCTGCCTTCAAGATCATATTCAGGCTCAAAGGACGGAGAACTCTAGATCACTCAAAATTTTTAGGTGATTTCAAATATTCAAGCACCATCCGGCACTTGGAGCGGATGGTCAAGGGCCCGATCGGAGAGTCTGAAGTGCACCTCCATGCCGACCAGGGCGCAACTGCTCGCGTATCGACAGGATGGCAGCTGCTAGGGAGCCCGAGATGGGACGGAATATCCTTTAGCTCCTGACAGAAGCATTTTACCTGTGTAATCTTGAAGTTGATTCTCTGAACAGAATTAAATGTCACAGTGACACGAGCGAGAGAAATTACGTCACCGCGCCACGACTTCGTGATGCTGTACGTGACAGTCCGTCCGAGTATAAATCGCCGGTAATTACCGGCGTAAAGGTTTCAATAATTGGCACAGGGGTCCCAGTTCAGCTTAGTGGGTCGCTGGCTGAAGTGGGCTTCTTCGATGGCCTCATTGTAGCCCCTTCAATTGTCACTTCTCATCTCTCATTGCCAGAGCGCCCCGACAGCGCAAGATGCTCTGAGACGTGACATTCCGGGTGCCGTCCCCATCCCAATTTAGCGAGTGTGTCCCTGGCCGATTCGCGGTCGCTCGTCGACGCAGGGTAGACACAAGGGTCTACTCTGCGTTAGTAGACACTTATATGCCCCTGGCCGGCACAGGACACACAGGTATAGGCCGGCACTGTTTAGTCCGATATTGACCAGGCTCCACAGCGGCACACCGTTGACCGGAGGGGCAGGTTTGACTCCCCCCCCCCCCCCCCACCTCCCGCTTATTTCAAGCACGGCAGTCCAAACTCAGAAATTTGAATGTTTTTTTATAGCACTGTGGCGTGCGGTTTCAGATCACACAACAAAGTTGAGTTTAGGTATGCATTAAGCTTACAGGTCAAGGTCAAATTCTTAAAGTATTAGTTTGAAATATCTGAAGGCTCCGCAACGCATCCCATTTAGAAGTGTATCTCATCGTGTGAAACAATTGCGCTCTGATCAAACATGCTACATAGCAAGGTATCCGGTCGTACGCACGCCCTACCAGGTCTAGAGCCGAGGTCACGTGCAGTGCAAATGAGAGTAGGAACCTTGGTATATATGTTTATTTTGGTCGCTCTATTTCCGTCATATTTCAGCCATGCAAACGCGAAGTTTAAGAGCTTAGTCGCAATCACGGGCATCAGACATGTGAGCAAGAGCTGTTACTTGTTCATAAACCGTCTAAGGTCAAGGTCAAATGGATAACATCGGTGGAAAATAAGCGGTGGGGCTGATATTCGCCCTGTTTTCGACGGTTTAGTGCTGCCGACAGCGCCACCTGATACCCTTCAACTCCGCCTTCAGTCACATGATCGTCTGTTTGCGTGAAATTAATAAACGGCTTCTGCCGCCCCGTCACCGCGCCGCTGCGACAAACCTGAGCCACGCCGCCTGCCGCCGCGGGACCGGGCCCATCTGGGTACGGGCAACATGCGCTGTGATGCATTTCAGACCATAACTCAGTCATGGTTATAGTCCATTGCTTGAAACTCGGCACAGACATCCTTCACAGTCGTATCTTGGACAACTTCTTTTATACTTTCATAATTTGTATCGAAGGTCTCAGCTTCAATCAATATTTTGTATCTTTGACATGCTTAAATTCAAATGTGCAATATTGAAACGACACACAGACAAGGCATATGAATGATAGACTAACTGGTTCACATTTCCCGTTTACAGATGTCAGATATCTTTTTTCGCTTGGCTGCTGTGTCAATTTGTCTAATGGTATGCGCTTTTGTCCAAAATTAGCAAATATGACGTAGCTCTGGTGTAGCTCACGCTTCAATTATTAGTATCTCATAGCCGTTATTTTGGCGCAATGCGTAGAAGTCATCAATTGCTAGCTACGAAAAAAGTCGTAATGACATTCAAGACGCTTTTAAATTATCGCGAGTGTTGAAAAGGTAGCAGAGTTTTTAAGGGACCCCGATAAATCGCAGAGGCCCTGATGAAAACAGCGTGGCCCGGCCTTGTCTTAGCCTGGGAAATGGATCTTTGAGGCCCAGACCAAGACGGGGGCGATGCCCTGCATTCGTAATATCTGACCAGCACAGAGTCAGTCGTCCAAAGATGTCTGATCGGTGCAAGACACCCTCTGATCGGTATTAAAGTACCTTGCCACGCTAGTGAGAATGCCTTAGAGGGAGCATCCCACTTTTTTGTAAGTTTCGCTTATTGTTACACCAGACGCGTACCATGTTATCACTAATACCAATTTTTCGAACTCCCTCTGAAAAGCTCACAATTTCTTTTTGAAGTAGCAAACCCTGCGAGAGGAATCTGATTCGACTTTAAGCCCACCACTATGAAAGTAACACGCTTCATTCGACTTGCTTTTTCCAGAGTGTATGTTCTACACTGTAACACATAATTGTGTCAACATGTTTGTGTATTGAACTGCACGAAAACTCGAAACACCCTTTACAGGCAAAAAGATATGCGAGCATGGAGCTATCATCCCGCAAATTCAGCGAAGCGTCGTACTATAGCTTCCATCTTTCTCCTATGATATTTAGCACAGCGGCTGTTTTTGGGGTGCATCCTGGCTTTGGAATTGGAAGTATCGCATTATCTATAGTAGTGCACTGGTTTAAGATTAAACTAGCGCGCTTTTCGGTAGCAGGCCCTTACCGCCCGCTAGACCAGTCACAAACGTTCTTGTATTTGTTCAGTGGAGGATAGCAACGGTAGTTGTTATGATGACGATGGTTGCTACCACAGAGAAGAAATTGAGTACTTTTACGATGCCTTGGCAACGTAATTTGGGCTCGAAAATAATTAAGATTAATATCTTTATTACGCCTTGACGGTGCTGCAGTGGTAATATCTAGGATTATTATCAGACGTAACTAGTCCCGATGTTCCCTAGAGCATGTTTTTGAAATACGCCCCAGAGGTGGGACACCCCTCGACCTCCAGACTACGCCGTGGACCGTCAGGGTCCTTCATTGGGCCAATGATCATCGGTCCGCAGGGACCCGCCCCCTGGGTCCTAACGGGAGCGTGCCGCTGTTATTGTGCCCCTCGGCCTGCCTGCACCTCTGCACGCCCTATCTTCATGTACATTGAAGGGCATACCGCCACGGATGTGAAAAGGAGGAAATGTGCCTGTGTCCTGAATGGAATAAAGCAGGTGTCTTATTTGACAGCTTAGCAGGCCCGAAATTTGGTTGCGCTAATCCAGGTTCTGTTTATAAACACCTACTATGAGCTGCTTTGCTGCTGAAGGGCGCAAAGTGTTGTGCGGCTGGTAGCATGTCAGCAAGCTTATTGGACATTACTATTTGTCGGCCTACCGCTGTACATTATGTCCGTAGCACATGCACCTAAGGTAAGTGATACGAAACAGGCCGTCAGTGATCCCAAGGTCGGCAGCAGTCTGATTTGTTCACATCGACCAAAACAACCAATAGCGACGTCGGCGACGCAGCGACGGGAGGGTGTTGGGGTGGTTGGTGGGGTGGGGCGGGTGGACGATTGGAATGTTGTTCACAGCCTCAAGATAGGCAACAGGAAGAGAAGCCGGTGGGCCTCCCACCGGTTGAAGGTGATGGCTCTTCAGGTAGGCTGAATAAGATCCGTGTGTGTGCTTTTTGGATGAAGGTGGCGCATCACCCGTGACATTTTAAGATTTTTGAGCCGCGGACTCGCTTTGGTCTGCAAAAATATGTCCTCTGCGTCAATTTCACATCGGTACACTGGACCCTGTGCTAGTATGGGTTAAATGAAGGACAGGTCATATTGCCAGTAATTTTTGCATTGCTTTTGGGCAAAATGTTCCTTAGGTAGGTTTGCCTAAAATTGCTCTTAAAACATCTCTTATCCTTGACACATTGGCTTTCTGTACTCTGAAATTACTGCTGATGGTGCTCCAAATTCAGAGCATTCATATTTATGATGTATGCATGCTGAATTGCTCCGGGATGGAAATGCCCCTCTAGGACGTCAATTTTGTCGTAACATTTGTTATGGTCTGTGACTCAGCTGATTCAATGACTCAGATACTGCATGCTTCAAACATGGCTGACTGGTTAGTCACTGATGACCAACAGCTTGCATTCTGGCTGCTGTATTCACAGACATGGAATGCACAGAGTGTCATATTGTGCAAAATGCTTGTGCCAAATTGGTTCTTGCCCTTGGATGTCAACTTATCCTTATGAATTGTCTGAAACTGTGTTATAATCAGTTCAAATTAGAAAAAACTTGCCTTACAAGTGACATCCATTTCTTCAGATAAATTGGTCCACCTGAGTTACTGGGAATGTCACTATCAGGCAAAAGATAAAGATTATGTGATCAGCCACATCCCATTATGTTTGTGATCTAACAACTTGTTGGATTAGCCCTAGGTGATGGCAGATAGACACTAGGGCATTTCAAGGACAACAGACATGGGCAAATGGTAATGGAGCTGCTCAAACCTCAGCTGTGGTCAGTCAACTTTGTGATTATCCAAATTTCTCTTTGGTCAGGAAACAAATGATTATTTTATTAGTTGTTTTGATTTGGGGTGAGAACTGAGATAGCCATATTGCAGGAGTCAGTGAGCAATGTGCTGAAATGTAAATTTATGTGTTACATGACAACTCATGATATGGTTCTGCATGGTTCTATGTACATAGTTAATAGGATGCAATATTTGGTTAAGTGATCAACTAAATGCATGTCCTACCTTGGTCTTTAGCTGCCTATAGAGCAGCCATCTCATGAACTACCAATTCAATCATTTTCATGTTATGTGACAAGCCCAAGCTTCCTTGAGTTAGAATCTGAGTAAGAGCCAAGTTGTGTTGTACTTTTCAGATTCAGGGTTAGAATCAACTCATGTGCTATGAGTCAGAACTAATACCACAAGATGGGATCAAGCAGAATTCTGCAGGTATAAACATTGTTTGTTGCTTATTTAGTGTAATAAGGGGCACAACTGTATGAGGTTAAGGGTCAAGGGATCCCACCATGTCCAGAAACCCTGTGTAGGCTTTTTTATCTAGAATGGGATTTAAGTGTGTCATCAGTATGGGGACCATCCCATGAAAAATCCTGCTATCGTACCTAAGAGCAATGCAGTGGAGCAGTTATGGCTGTGACATTCTGCTTGATTTGTAAGCAGCAGTAGAAGTGGGTTCTGGTATAGGGCTATCCATCTGTTATTGACGGATGAGCACACACTGTATGTTTTGCATTGATATGAAAGTGAAACAAAATTTTCTTAATTTGCAAGGAGACTTCAATATGGAAAGAAATGGGAAAATTTTTATTTAATGTGGTGATCTTAATGCATCCCAATAAAGGCATTACTGTCACTGGTGCTTCCCAAATGCCTGTGTCATCAGCATTTACCTGTATTTGTATTCTAGTGTCATTATGAAATCTAGATAGATCAGGTTTGTAGCTTTATGCATCCTCAATACTCATGTCCATCATAGTATATAAAATCTGGCATCTAGGCTATACCCTAGAGGAAAATTGTTGGTCCACAAACATTCCAATTATAGGCATGTAATGTGATTGGAAAAGGAGATTTTAACAGATACAAATATAATCATTTTGGTTTATTTCAAGTTAAGTTGTCTATATATTCCCTACAAATTTGAAATAAGTGGGTATGTTGAAGAGTTCTTTTTAACCTTAGCCCAGTGTACATGTGTTAGTCAGATTTTCAAATGTTGTTCATGTATGAAACATGCTACACATTTCAGTTCACCCATGCCTTAAACCATTGTTTCTGGGGTCCATTGTGCTTTCATGCTATATTTGATGAGTACAATATGAAGATGGCCTAATCTGCTCAAAGGTGTCTGAACAGTTGATCCCAGCAACCCCAGTGTGCTAATATGAGGCTCAACCATTAATAACAATATAATGTGTGGTACATCATGTTTTTCAAGATGTCCATTATTTTCTTGTTGCAGGCTGGAGGGGCCAGGGTTTGCACCATTTAAGCTATGGTAAGAACAACTATTTTCCAGCTGTAGGCAGTCTTCAATTTCTGTGAAATTTCCCAGCTTGCTGTAGTGTTACTGTTATTTTAGGACATTGCACTATTTTGTAGTACTTGAATGGTGTTGTGCATAATTTTGTGCAGTGACATGTATCACATTTCTTGGTAGTCGCATTGCGTTGCCATATTGCAGTGTGTTTCATAAGACCTTCCCTCTTATTCCCTGTATGACCTGCTCAGTCCCATGGCCAGTATCAGCTGCCAGGCAGTGAGCACACACTTGCTGCTCAGAGTTTCTGGGGAGTGTGGAGCACACAGAGCTCTGCATCCCGCTCATGGCTGGGCCTGACCCTGTCCAGTCCCTTTTGCCCAGTTACAGGGCTTGACCCTGTCCAGTCCTCTCTGCCTAGCGAGCGGCCCGGACCCGTGTCCATTCCCATTGACCCAGTTGACCAGGCCTGACCCTGTCCAGTCCCCCCATCCATGACCAGCCCTGACCCTATCCACTCCTATTGACCCCATTGACCAGGCTAGCCCCATCGTGGACCATCCCTGACCCTATCCACTTCCTATTGACCCAGTGACCAGGCCTGACCTGTGCCAGTCCTCTCCTGCCTAGCTGAGCAGGCCTGACCCTCTGTCCATTCCCATTAGCCAGTGACCCAGAGCATGACCCCTGTCCCCAGTCCCCTTCATCTCAGTGACCAGGCCCTGACCACTACTCCACTCTCCATGAACCCCAGTGACCAGGCCTGACCTGTCCAGTCTCCTCCGTCCAGTGCACCGGCGGTCCGCCACTTGGCCCTGCCGAGCCGAGCGGCTCCGTTGCCCCGTCGATGGCAGAGCGGTGACGTGCCGTGTGCCGGCAGCCGCGCGGCCCGCGGGCCGGCGCGTCCGACCGCACGCCCGAGAGGAGGCCAGAGACGGTCAAGGTTGTCGTCCGCTGTCGGCCTCTCAACCAGAAGGAGATCGCCAACGGATTCGAAAAGTACGGCGGCCACGGGGCACAAGGTGGCGAGGGTGACTTGCAGGTGTCGGTGGTTTCTGGCCGGTGGGGACGGGCTGCAGTGTTTTCAGCAGGCAACGCGGGGGTGAAAGATCACAACAACGGTCTTCGATCGGCTGCGGCGAGGTCACGTGACTTGGGTCGCTACGTTGCCGTGAACAGCGGACTGCGCTCTGGCTGGCGATATCGAACGCCGTTGTTGGAGTTTTCCTTGTTCGCCGGTTTCATTATTCTGCATCGACGTGTAGTCGCTGTGACGGGACGGCATGTTTTCCAAGGCCGCGCCGCGTCAGCCCGGGCAATCGATGGTTGCGTTTGCCGGCGGAATTAGTCCGGCTTTCGATCACGTCAGGCTGCTTTAAGATCTTGACGCATGTCTGGTGTCCTCGTGATTCCAGAACGGTTGATATCGACACCAAAAGAGGACAGATTCGTCTGAAAAATCCTAAAGCGGAAAATGACCCTCCGAGAGAATTTACATTTGACGCCGTTTACGACGAAAGGTGAGAAATAGCTCTCGTTATAAACATTAGCACCCAAGTCTCAAGTCTGAACCCGCACTTTCCCTATGACAAGATTAATTTCCAATTTTTCATTCAATTTTTCACGACCCACCAGGTGCTTTGTGATGCCTCTTTAACTCGGGTATGTCGATGATCCCCTTCTGATTCGCCACGGCGCGCTGGCCAATCGATTGTCGGGAGGCGGCTTTCAGTCCGGTCCGCTGCCAAAGAGCTTTGCAGGAGTACTAAAGCCTCTTTTCACCCGGGTTTCCCGACAGCAGTTTGTCATTGTCAGCGCTGCTATAAAGTTGGGTGATGACGTGCGTTCACTCGCTTGTCATGCGTACCGTGCCATGATGAAGACGATTGGTTCCTGTCTTCCTTTGACGCTCTGCTAGATCGCGATGGTTGAAGGAACGCCTGGGCGGTCTGGCATGATTTGGACCACCGGACGCCGCGGCGACTCAGCTTGTTTTGGCAGTCATCCAGAGTGACGCAAGGGTCGCAGCCAGCAGTGTTTTCATTTGACGCCAGACGCAGTATTTAGCCCACTGCTAAAGTGAGCTGGAGCGAAGCTCTTCAGTGATCTTGTATGACTATTCTGGTTTGCCTTAAACATCTCCCTGGTTGTGGAGCATTGGAGCAGCAGTCCGTTGAGAAGTCCGTTTTCTGACTAATCACCATGTGTAGAGTGTTTGGTCACCCCGCCAATTGCCTGGTTGCCCCGCGGGATTTAACACCTGATAAAACTATACCACTCTCTAACGCGTTCGATCGATGTGCCATGTGTTCAACACGTTCCTGTGGTCGTCTTTCGCGCGGACGGGGTTTGAAGTCTGATTCCGTATTGTGTTGTGACCCAGCTCGAAGCAGGTGGAGCTGTACGATGAGACTTTCCGGCCGCTCGTCGAATCAGTCCTGGAGGGCTTCAACGGCACCATCTTCGCCTATGGGCAGACGGGCACGGGCAAAACGTACACTATGGAAGGTAGGGCATGCACACCTCTTAGCGAGCGTGCGGATAGGGAGCGTCAGATCGACGCAGGCCTGATGATGGGAAGCTCTGCAGGGCTCTTTAAATGCTAGTTCTATAAGGCATGATGCGCTTTCACTCAGCGTAATCGGCGTGCGTCTTGGCACAACCCTCGCGAGTCGGATGGCGCAACCGTCGCAGGGTTAACCGCGTGGGGCGGGTGCTTTTCTCAACACGGTAGTCGATGGGGGGTAAAGGCTCCAATACTGTGTGCGGGAGCATGCACGTTCGATTCAGGGGAAGAATGGCCTGGCATGATGCTTGTAAAACTGGTCGGGTATTTATTTGACACCGCCGTTTTTAACTGTACGATCGAAGTCACTTTTCTCCTCCCCCCCCCCCCCCTCTCTCTTTCCCTCTTTTGACCTCCTCCCCCTTTGCGGCAGGTGTTCGAGACGATCCAGAGCAGAGAGGCGTCATCCCCAGCTCGTTCGAGCACATCTTCGGCCACATCGGGCGCTCGCAGGACTGCCAGTACCTGGTGCGCGCCTCCTACCTCGAGATCTACCAGGAGGAAGTGCGGTGAGGGCGACGAGCGCGCACCGGTCCACGCCTCGGCCGTGTCGTTTGCTGATGGTGTTCGGCTACCTGTTTGCTTCATTGTCCGCCTATGACAGAGCCACGTTAGTTTTGGCTGTTAGCTCACGCGCACGACAGAGGCATCGAAATTGGGGTTGTATCGAATCGCTACACCACCGCGTATGTTGACTTGAGTCAGCGTGCTCGGTTTGGGTGTTGAACCCTGCAGTCTGCTGGATATGTGCTTGACGCCGCTTTGTGGCCCTGCGCAGGGACGGAATGCATGCGCCATTTTGGATCTGGGTCCGTGCGCCAAACGCTCTATGCTATGTTGGGAGACGACTCGAGTTTAGTAAATGATGGCCACATTTTTAGTTATCTTGAATACATACAATTGCATGCTATATATCGGGCGTAGCCTTACCTCCTCGCCTTTTCACTCATCTGTTAAGTAAAAAGTAGGTTATGGGCGCCATATGACTAATGTAGTCGGTGCGCCACAAAGCCCGAATCACCATCACCATCACCCCGCGTAGGGACTTGCTGTCCAAGGACCAGACGAAGCGTCTGGAGCTGAAGGAGCGGCCCGACACGGGCACATACGTCAAGGACCTCTCGTCGTTCGTGTGCAAGGGCGTGAAGGAGATCGAACACGTCATGGGTGTGGGCAACCGCAACCGCAGTGTCGGGTGAGTGGCACCACCCGGCCGTCTTGCGAGGAGAGGCGCTTCAGGGCGTGTGTGGAAGAGCTTGCTCCCAAAGATCGAAAGGGCGCGGAATGAACGGAGATCGAATTATATAGGGCTATGGTAGTTATTTATTTCTTGATTTAAGTTTTTGTATGAATGTTTCTCAAGGGGACTCATGGGATGAAATAAGACCGTTCAACCTTTTCCCACTTTCCCCGATCCAGATTTTGGACGGGTCTCCGCCAAACGAGACGATGCTGCGGGTGACATAGCGTCTCGATTGCTTTTCGCTTGAATGAATGCGTAGACGGCAGTTAGCCGTCGTCGTCCAGACACTATTGATCCTGGTAGTGAGTCGGGCGGACCACGGGAGCTGAGAGACTCAGGCTGTCCTCTTTTTCCGGGTGTGGGTGTCATGTCCAGATCACTGCCCCCCCTCGCTCCACATGCCGTGTCGAGTAAGTCCCTCCCAGACGTCGGTCGCTGCGTCCGACCCACCGCCCGCCTCCGCCGCCAGCTCCACCAACATGAACGAGCACAGCTCGCGCTCGCATGCCATCTTCCTGGTGACGGTCGAATGCAGCGAGCTGGGCCTGGACGGCGAGCCGCACATCCACGTCGGCAAGCTCAACATGGTGGACCTGGCTGGCAGCGAACGCCAGGCCAAGACGGGCGCCTCGGTACGGCGCGGCCCGGCCAGCCCCGGGGCGCTGGCCGCTGGCCCCTCCCCTCGTCGATCGGTGGGAGCGCGGCGGCGGCCCTGTGATGTGGCGTTTCGCGACGAGCGTGCAATACGTTGGCGCGCGATGCGGGGCGTACATCACGCGGACGCTGTGTATGTGTCCACGCTTCACCCCAGCATGCTAACTGTGCCAGTGATCATCGCGTTAGTGTCCATAACGGCAGCGTTTGCTAGACAGGTTACGCAGGCGACACAAGCATGCTTAGCATTGGGAGCAGTCTTTCATTTGTGAACGGGAAAGCAGTAAGGATACACGGAATCGGCGGAGGACGCTGGTGAAGTGGTCCGTGCGCGTCGGAGTGGCGATAAAGTGGCTCGTTTGCGCCGGTGTGGCGATGGAGTGGTCCGCGCGCACCGAGATGACGGTTGCCTGCCGGCGCGTCGCTCCGTCTCAGCGCGCCGTTGTCCTCCGCAGGGCGAGCGGCTAAAGGAGGCCACCAAGATCAACCTCAGCCTGTCGGCGCTCGGCAACGTCATCTCGGCCCTGGTGGACGGCAAGTCGTCCCACATCCCCTACCGCGACTCCAAGCTGACCCGTCTGCTTCAGGGTGTGTGGTGCCGCGTGGCGGTCGGTGGTCCTCATGGTGGACGTCTGTCGCTGCGTGTGGCCGAGATTACGGTGCTGAGACTGCAATCGCACTGTGTTTTTATGAATTATGCATCGCATCTGCAGCGAGGAATTTGAATGTTTGGAGCTGGGGTGAAGCTTTCGCCCTCCGCAGCAGGACGGTGTTAAAACCGCCGCATCGAAGAGTACCATGGGGATCGAAACGTTTTCGCCAAAAGCCTGGAGGAGACCGAAATCAGCGCAAATACAGTATGCATGAATGGAAGACCGAAATGACTGTTGAATAGAATTCAAAACTGAGAGCCCACGATCGTCCGTGACATGCCTCATTTTCCACCCAAGTCGTGAATGTTAACACTGCTGCAGAACCATGACTGAGCGTCAGTGGCACTGGTAACGATGATGTTTACCCGTCCCCACCCGGGCTGGCCCCACTCCAGTGGAGTGACGTTCGGTCGTGCCCGTACCATCCCACCCAGGCGCCATGTGATGGCGACGCTCTCCGTCATATTGTGCAGACTCGCTGGGCGGTAACGCCCGCACCATCATGGTGGCCAATCTGGGTCCGGCCGCCTACAACTACGACGAGACGCTGACCACGCTCCGCTACGCGAACAGAGCCAAGAACATCAAGAACAAGCCCAAGGTCAACGAGGACCCCAAGGACGCCCTGCTGAGGGAGTTCCAGGACGAGATCGGCAAACTGAAGGTGAGCAGCAGGCGGGCTACTGCCATGGAGAGTTCCGTGGAAGCTGCAGCTGGAGGGTCTTTAGGCCGGTGTGTATAAGTTATGGCAGTGTTCAGTTTGTATGGCAAGTCTTTGTGGTGCACACGTGCAGCTGCGGTTGCGAAGTGCTACCGGCGAACTGCCATTACGAATCCTATGGTGTTGTAAATATGGTTTCCCTTATCTAGTTCCTGGCCGTTCTTGCTGTGCTCCGCCCTGTCCCCGCCTGTTTGTCGCTGGCTCTGTCGTTTCCACACGACTGTGGTCCATGTCCAGCGTGCCCTTTCGGCCTGGGTGTCTTCTCTGCGTATCGGTCCTCTTTACCCGACGGTGTTCTTTCTGTCCGGCCGTGGCCCCTGTGCTGGGCCACGTACTTTCTGTCCGCCCGGCGTGCTGGCTATGCCCGGCCGCGGTCTCCTCTGTCCCTGGTTGTATGCTGTGCTCTCGGCTATGTCCTGGTCGTTCTTACTCCTTTTGCTCGGCTGTGTTGTTTCGCTCTGCCCTACTCTGCCCCCACGTGACGTGTCCGCCCCTGTCCCGGCGCGGCGTGTCGACGGCGGCCGCTGCCTTCGGCGACGTCTGACGGGACGGCTGACGGTGCCAACAGGCTCAGCTGCAGGCCCGCTCGGCGGGCGGCCGCTCCAGCTCCGGCTCACGGCGTCGGCAGCGCGCCGCCGCCGCTGCCGCCGCTGTCTCCGCTGACGCCGAGTCCGAGCCGTCGGCCGAGGAGTACCTGCAGCAGCAGCGCAGTCAGATGGAGCAGGAGCGGCAGGCCATCGTCGGCGACCAGAGCCTGATCGCAGAGGTGGGCGGACGCTGCCGAGTCGTGCCGCGGCGTCCGATACATCTCGCGTCGCCGGTGACCGGCGGTCCCGACACACTGTCCGTTGGGACAGCGATCGGGCATTGGACGCGGGGGAGATACGTGTCAGAACTGTCTGGGCTATCGCTTGATTGGCACGGGCTAGGTTTTTTAGACGGTTTAATAACGTGGTTTTAGTGAGATAATATATATATATATATATATATATATATATATATATATATATATATATATATATATATTTGTTACGATAGCTGTTTTCAATAAAACGTTAGTGTTCGGCACGAGGGACACAATGTGAATTGCTGGCGTTTACATGCTATGCTCAGTGATGTCTAGACGTATTGAATGGCTTTCGGTCGGTTCCGTTTGGCGGATGTTTATCGGCGCCGTTTGGGTTGGAGGCAGGTCCGCGGTTTGTGGCTTGTCGCGTCAAATTTGCGCCAATGCGCTAATTTTTGCGCCTCGCGTGCGCAGGACAAGGAACGCCTGCTGGAGGAGATGCGGAAGAAGGAGGAGCAGCTGGAGCGAGAGCGCCGAGCCCAGGAGGATCTGGCGACGCGCATCAAGGACATGGAGTCCAAGCTTCTATCGGGAGGGAAGAACATCGCCGACCGCACCAACAAGCAGCAGCGCCAGCTGGAGCTGAGCCGGCAGAAGATCGCCGAACAGAAGGTCCGCTGTCCCCTGCTGCGACCAGTGGGAAGGGGGGGGGGGGGAGGAGCGGGACCCGACCTGTGCTCCGGCGGGGCGAGGGAGTAATCCGACCGCTAGTGCTGGATCCGGTGATCGACTGGGCCGTTAGGGATTTACTGAGGGTGTCTTCATGATGGCTCATGGGCAATGAATCTACTTAACACCGCGCCGGGCACCGGGTTAGAAGAATGCGCTGAACGGCCGTTTAGATAGAGTTTTACGACGTCTGTGATATCAGAAGCACTTGACGGCGGGCTTAGGTGTCATATAACGAACCCTTCTCTTCGTATGTGTATCCATGTGCCTTCTGATAGACTGAACAAAGACGCGTCGACTGTGTGATGCTCGCCACTGCTTAATTTCTGTACGCCTGGCCGCGCCCCCAGGCCCGGGAGAGAGAGGTGCTGCAGTGCATCGAGGACCAGGAGGGCTCCCGCCTGGATATGCAGCAGACCTTCCAGTCACTTCAGCAGGAGGTCGATGTGAAGACCAAGAAGCTGAAAAAGCTGTTCGCCAAGCTGCAGGCGGTGAAGCGGGAGATCTCCGACGCCACCGAGGAGTTCCACGGGGAGCGGCGAGAGCTGGAGGAGACGGGCGTCTCCCTGCGCAAGTCAGTCAGCCCCACCTCGCCATCCTCTCCGCCTGTGCCTAACAGCGCTTGAAAGTAGACCGCCCGATGTGAGACTCCTGCAAGCTGTTTTCCAACACATTGGGCTCACACAAACATGGTTTCCGTTAACTCGCAGGTTGGCGAAGATGATTTGATTTTCCCTTACCAAGTGAATCGTGTGGAATTGTTAGGGCCAAGCTGTAAAATAATAATTGACGACCCACCACTTAAAGTGTGTCCTATGTACTAATTATGTAATTGTGCTCCATATATAGAGGTGATGTGCATGCGCACAATACTTGGTTATGGGAGATATACCATGTTTGCATCACCTTGTGGGCCAGACAGCCGTCACTGCACTTCGTCAATCCGTTGCCGATGTTGCTGGCTACACGACTTCGTGACCAGGTCCAATCCCCGGCGCGCGCGTTCTGACCCGACCTGGCCTGGCCCCAGACGTGCGCCCTGACACGATCTGACCTGAACAAACCGCAAGCGTGCGTTTGGCACCCTGACTCGACCTGACCTGGCTCCAGACGTGCGCCCTGACACGACCTGACCTGACCAAACCGCGAGCGTGGGTTTGGCACCCTGACCCGACCTGATCTGACTTTAGACGTGCGCCCTGACACGACCTGACCTGACCAAACCGCGGACGAGCACTTGGTGACCCGATGCGACCTAATCCCCTTGCGTTTGTCCTGATGACAGGACCCAACCGGTGGCGCGCGCTCCGTGTACCTGACCCGACCCACCCCTTTCAGAGAACTGAAGTTGAAGCAGCTCATCATCGACAACTTCCTGCCGCCGGACGAGCTGCCGCAGCTGCTGGCGCGCGCCGAGTACCGCGACGACGGCGACGAGGAGGAGGGGTGGCGGCTGTTACCCGGCGCTGGCTCGACGCTGGAGGGGCGGCCTGTCAGCGCGCGCGGTGCCCGCCGCCCCGTCTCCGAGTACGCCCGCCGCGCCGGCTCGCTGGGCGGCGGCACGCGTTTCAAGGTACGGCTGGGGCGACTGGGCCGGGCCGGGCCGGGCCGGGCTCCGAGCTGCAGCTGGGGAGCGATGTTTGCATTAGGCAATGATAGTTGGTGATTGCCGCGATGCGGGCTGGGGCCCATTGGATTGGTGCGTGACGCAAATGGATTCCGCTGTAAAACTGTTGCGTCCAGATGGATGGAGTGCATGAGGCTTGTTTCAGTCGACGTTTCTGATGACCCATCGCCACGTTAGGTGCATTATGGATTAAGCAACGTCTCTTTGCTGGCCGATCTTCCTGTCCCGTGCGTGGGGCTGCAGTGGTTTGGCACTGTACGCCTGTCGCACATGAGGCAAGACCACCCGTGGCCGGAGTTGGACACCGTGATCGCCATCGGCCTCGGCGGTCCCCCACCCCTGACCGTGCCGGGGCCTCCTCAGGGCGAGAACATCATGAGTCTGGAACTGGACGCGCCGGCGCGCACCACCCGCGACTACCGCGGCCCGCTGGTGGCGCCTCGCATGCAGGCTGCCCTGCAGGCGGCGCTCACGCCCACGGAAGACGTCATCAGCATCGACGCTGCCGCCCCGCTGCGCGCCGCTCAGTTCCGGCTTAAGGCGTCCCGAAAGGAGCTGCTTGCGTGAGTATACCCGCTGTGCGGTCGGCGTCGTGCTTTGGCGGCAAACTCTGCCACGGTGTGTTTGTGAGCCGTGTTTTTGTGGTCGCTGGCGTCGTCTGGGCGGTTGGAGCTGCCGTCACGCCGGCGCCGTGTTTTTTCCCGCAGGTCGAAGCCGTCGCGGCCGCTCCCCGGGACGGCGCCGGACGCTGCACGTCACTACCCTCAGTCGCGCGGACTGGTGCCCAAGTAGCGGCCGGTGGCGGCGCGCTCGCCCGCGTGCCCGCCGCCGGCCGCGCCGCGCTCTGCATTTGTGATATTCTCAGACGGAGAGGCACGTACCAGGCGTCGGCGCGGCCCGGCGGCCGGCTGGCGCGGCGGCGACAGCTGCGGCGGCCGCTGCCCGTCCGGTCGCCGGCCGCGCAGCAGGTGGCCAGCGGGAGGCCGGGACCCGGCGGCGACGGGCCGCTGGCGGCCGGGCCCTCCTGCGACGACGAGAAGCTGCGGCGACTCGCGGACGGCGACTGCGACGGGAAGGCGGCGGCGGCCGAGTCGCCACCGGCGGCCGGCGCGGCCAACCTGACCGACGAAGAGAAGGCGCGCGTGCTGCTGCGCAGGCAGTCGAGCGAGGGCTGGGACCAGCTGACCGGCCGGCTGCGTCGGCTGATGCGCGCCGACGTGCCGCTGCCGCCCCGCCTCCTCCCGCGCCGGCCGCGGCTGGACGCCGGCGACGGTCCGGCGCCGTGCTGCGCGCCCCAGCCGCCGCCAGTCGCCCGGCCCGCCCGGCCGCGCCGCCTCCTCGTCCGTCGTGCCGCGCGCCGTGCGCTGGCGGCACGCGCGGCCGGCTCGCGCCGCTGCGCTGTCTGCGCAGGCCTGTTGCCGGCCCGGCGTCGGCCGCTGCGTTTCGGCAGCTGGCGGCGACGCGCCTACCACCAGTTGCTGTTGCTGGGCGCGGCGCTGCTACTGCTGCGGCTGTTCGTGCTGATGCTGTGCTGGGGTCTGCTGACGCTGGTCGGGCGCTGACGGCCACTGTAAAGTTGGCGGGGAACCACGCCAGACAACCTGGGTGGCTGCTGGGCTGGATACCAGATCTAATTCATCCTGAAGATGACTAGATTCAGGGCTGTTTCGGAAGAATGCGTCTCAAATGACGCTCTTCACAATGTTTATTTTCTTCACACGTTTCACAACCGCAATCCAATGCAAGTTAGCGCACGTGGCACAATAGTTCCCGTGACCGAGCCGGTTAGTCCGGCGTTGTTCTCCACGTCACTGTCCGCACAGCCAGCGGTGCTCGGCCCGCGTCACTGTCTGAGAATGTCCTGAGGGGTCACGTGCTTCGTCCGGCGCGTCGCGTTTCGTCCCGGGAAATCGTGTTGTGTGTCTGTAATGTGCCTGACGAGCTTTCTCTCGTCCTACAAATATTATGTGGGTGGGAACGTACGTGCGTCGTGCGAGCACCCCAGCGCTGCCGTGGTGGCGACTGAGTCACTTCGTTCACATTGAACGCTGCCGGTGCCGGGGTTTCCTGCCCTCGGTGCCGGACCGGCCGGGACGAATCCCAGCTCCGGAGCAGAGGGTGGCCGAGTCCTTCCCGCGCTGGAACGTCGCGAGCGACCGCGGCAGGTCGGGGAAGAGGTGGTCTCAGTTCTTCATGGCGGTCGCGTTTGCTCTCGCCCCTTGCCCAGTTTTGGCGCTGCTCTGACACCAAGACCAGCCGTTGTTCGGTTCAGTGTTCGGTTCAGCCGATAGCCGTTGTTAACCGTTGCTGTGGGAATGCCCCAGGAGTTTGACCCCGCTTGCTAACATTCCGAAATGCTCCCTGTTGTTTCGATTTTAGTCGTAAATTGTAGTTGTAGGCGATGTTTTGTCCCGAATCATCCTAGAGCATTTTTGAGGCGTTATTTGTTGCTCGAACGGTTTTTGTTACGGTAGCCTGGAGTACGGGTATTAGTTTATTCTGTTTCTGTCGTGAGTCTGTTTTAGCGGTCCGCACGCTCAGGAAGACTAGTCATTTCGTTTCCTGCCAACCTCATGTTACTCAGAAGCTGAAAATAAATAAAGACGTACTCTCATACTCAACAGTTTTTTTTTCGCCGAGTGTAGATGGGGTTACGGAGCAAGGTGGTGGAATAACACAATTACACATTGGCATTTTCCGAAATCTGGCCTGAAGTATGTTTGTAAGCCCACAAAGAGGGCACCTGAATGTCCGTCGAATGGCCTACCTCATTCTTTAGTTGATCTCGAGAAGGTTGGTGTTTCGTAAACAGGTTTGTCACTCATCTGTATTTCACATCAATAAGTGCGTCCAAGACAAGCACTGAGTCACTTTCTCAGAAAGCTTGTAATATGCCACAACATAACACTTCACCACGACATTCATCATGCTTCCTCTGCATCTTATCTGTCTGGCGGAATCATCTCCAGCGACGAGGGTATCACTAGAATTTCCGGTGTGGTGGCTGCACGGGCTGTGAACGGATGGTGGTCTGCACCAACCTGGGACTTGAACCGACCGCTGGCCTGGGACGGGGACGAAATACGGATGTCAGACCCGCCACCTTCTAACGACGAGTCGCCGCCTGCAGGAGCTTGCTGAGAGTTTAAGGAAAGCACCTCCTGACGGGTGGAGGTCACCTTCAGACTTTTGTTGGGGTCGGCCGCGGGCGGTGCTCGGTACTGGTCTGTGCCGGCCAACCGCGAAAAACAGTCACCCATCACTCCCTGAAGGTATGCTTGAGCTGCCACGGTCGTCCTCACTTCGAGTTTTTGCACAAGTTGAACAATGAGGTGAAGCTCGATGTCGGTTGGTCCAACATGTCGCGTTTATGTTGCATGGGATCCAAGGCCTGGGTCGGAGGTAACGCCCGTCTGTAGACTACGTAAAAACCTGGCCGCTAAGTGTAATCAAGCCCAGCTTCAAGGTGTTGTTTTGGCAGAGGAGCAGTGCTTTGTGTCAAACGTGTCCTTCAAACGCGTCGCACTGATTGCTTTGTTCGCGATAAACAATGGTGTGGTTCCAGGAGATGAGACAGATTTGAGTGTTGTTGTCGGGGCGTTAATTTCAATATTTATTTCGTTGATTTCTCCAAATAATCTCGAGCATTCTCAAAATGTATCTCTCGGTAAAAGGTGCCCCAGTTCTTGATATTCCCGTTCCGCCAGAACTTTGGTCTTTTCTGCAGTTACCTCTGATTTCATTCAGGAGTAAGCATGAGCGTTAAAGTTTAAAGCAGTATCCTCAATTTCATTTTCAAGATGTTGTGTTTTTCGCTCTATACAAATTAGTGTAAAACCATGAAATGCTTATCCAGTTGTCGTCTCCGGTCTCATGGACTAGTGTATTCACAAAATATGCGTTTTACAAATCCGACTCGATTCCTGGCATTGATCTTACCCATCGCTTTGTCTTGCCTCTGAAACAATTGATGTTAACAATCAGAGATTCGTAATGTCTTCGTAACTTCTTCTCCGTCAGGTTACCCAAGGTTTATGTCGAAAAGCACCATATCACAGATTTACGCTACGAAAGAAATTGTTCCCAAACTTCTCGTCATTTGTGTGCTGCATTACGATACGATCTCGCTGAAGTGACTCAATATGTCACCATTCTGCAATATGTCAGGTTAAGCTTTATATTATCCTCAGTCACGTCGAAATGATGCCACACAAATCAACTAAATGCCCTATAGCAAATACATAGCTGTGCAACATGCAAGGCTTGAAAAAGTTATTATTATGTTGTATATGTAGATATATATATATTTATTATGCTATGTATATACATGTGTATATATATAGAGAGAGAGCATATATAGAGCACATATATCGGGTATATACATATATATATATATATATATATATATATAAACATATCTTGTGGGCAAGGCTTACAGATGCAATGGCTCCACGTCGAATCCACGAAGCTCGGCTGGTGGTCCCGGACGTCCGCGCACGGCCGCGCGTCAGGCATCAGTCCCGCCCGGTTGGTCGGCGATCTCAGTTGGCGGCTCTGGTCACGCGCCCGGCCGGGGTCTGCGGTGACACGCAGCGATCGGGACCAGCGGGCCGCTCGCACCACCGGGCGTTACTTACGCATCTCGCCATCCCAAAGACCCAATCCGCTATCCCTAGAGCTGTTCCACGCCTTCGATCAGCCGCCGGTGTCGCCGGCGAGTCCGCGCGGATCGACGCGGCGGCACGCCGATGGGTGCCGCTACCACACTGGGGTCCTCCCCAGCCGACACAGACTCCGCGACAGGGTCACAGTCCGGCACAGCATATCCATATCGATGCCGCACGTGTCGACGGTTGTGTGTCAGCACCCGTCGGCTGGACAGGCCAATGTTGTACCGGCGGCCTAGCCAGACCTCACATACTCCAGCTCACTTGTCACATACGACAACGTGCCGGTCCCAGCGACTAATGCGATCGTCCTGTATGTTGACCCGATCCCCGCCAGATGGCGGCGCTAGCTCCCGTGCTCGACAGTTGTACGTGTCGTCGCCCTTCTTCTGCCGCCGGGTCAGCCGTGCCCCTGCAATGTCAGCAACCAGCTGCTACTCCGGGGTGAAGCTCCTGCGGTGGGCCGGAGCCAGGTGCCGCACTGGCCGGTCAAACATGATGTGGGCCTTTGAGCTGGGGACCTCCGTCAGACAGGATCGCCTCAGAGACACCACTCAACCAGATATTTTATTCACCACAGAAATCAGCTTCCTTTTAACTGCTTTTTAATGCTTTTTGAACATAAATTTGACAGCTCGGCTTGGTCGCGTTCTCTAAGTCAGCGTCTAGTTACGGCCAGAGTATAATCTGCCGGGCACTGCTCTTCGTTCTCTCCTTACTCAGGTCCCCATTGTGAGGAGCGGTGGGCACGGCTCGACGAAGAGTCTAATGGACAACGAATCGGCAGCCGCATACAACTAGCCAGTCGTCCTCAGACTCTCGTAAATGCGCGATACTTACGCATCGTTTCAGGGACGCCAGCCTTGTGAGCAGAAACCCATTACGGACGGTCTGCGAAGCGAAGACTGGATCGTGCGAGGCGGCGCTTCGTACCTCGTCCAGACGTACGTCGGGGTCCGTCGCATAAAGTTCGGCGATCATGGTAACGCAAAAGCATTCCGCTGAGTCGTTCTCTCCGACTTTATCTCTGAGTTAAGGGTCCTGGACTGGGGCCGCCAGCAGCGCAGTGTCGAGCCTTTTTAAGGCTTAAAACCCTTTGGTTCCGAGCTTGAAGCCCACAAAGTTGTGAAGA